AGGGATGGAGCAAATTGAATCCAGGTGCACCTGAAACAGCCCAAGCTTCCATTGGTGGGTGGATGGATAAACAGAATGTGGTATGTGTATTCAGTGGAATATGATTCAGCCATAAAGAAGAAGGAAGTCCTGACACTGCTGCAACATGGACGAACCTTGAAGACAGTATGCTTTGTAAAATGATCAGGATACAAAAGGACAAATATTGCATGACTCCACTTATATGCGGTACCTAGAGCAGCCATGTTCACAGAGACAGAAAGTAGAGTGATGGCTGCCAGGGGCTGGGGGGAGAGGAAATACGGAGCTATGTTTAACGGGTACGAAGACTCAGTTTGGGAAAATGAAAAAGTTCTGAAGACGGATGGTGGTGACGGTGTCACAGCAACGTGAATGTACTTACTGCCCTGAGCTACGCACTTAAAAATGGTTAAAATAGTAAATAGAAAAAAAGGAGGGGGAGAGAAGAGGGCAAAGCTGTTTGGACTCCCTTTGCCAACCGGCATCTCAGCAACTTGCTGTGTTCAAACTTTATCAGTACAGTTCTAGTTCAAAGTCGTGTTCTAAGGTAAAATGCAGTGATTTTTATGTACAGTTGGAAATAGCTTTTAAAGAACTCCATTCCAATTCTCCCTTCCCCACTAAACTTGCTCTTAGGAAGATGGTCCTCTAGGTGGGCCGGGACTCTCATGTTGTCTTCGTTAACTTACCCATAATCAGGATGCGGCAGGGGTGTGTCTCTGCACGTCTGCCAGATCACTACCGGAATTGGCTTTGGGGACACGATTCAACTTCTGTCCTTCTGCACTAGGGAGGCCTCGCTTTGGCTGTCCTCTAACTTGCATGACCTGCTGGCTTAGCAAGCTATCCCCCACTCCATGGGACCCCAGCTGGGGGAGATGGCTCAGGAGCCGTCCCCTGAGAGAGCTGGCCGGGAGCTCTGCGCGCATTCTCCGAGCAAGTGAACCCAGAACGGGGCAAAGCCCTGGAAGAAGGTGCTACAGCAAAGTTTCCAACTAGAGGGGTGCAGAGGACATAGTTACCCACTGAGCATGTTCATAGTTCTGTGATCTACCTGCACAAATTTTGAGGTCTACCAAAGACTCTGATTTGCTGATCGATCTGCCAGGCTGAGGACCCGTGTGCAAACAGCGCACAAAATGCTCCATTTCAGCCGGTGGTCCTTAAACCAGAGATGAGGCGGAAGAGAATTGGACAGGCAAGGTATCAGGACTGGTGGTGTATGTATGCGTTTGTGTGCAGATATCATGCACCTGAGCACACACACACGCGCACACACACACGCACACACACATTCACTAAAGTCAGCAAAACCTCCGGGTGACTCCATTCCTTCTCAATGGTAAAGTAGGAGAGTAATTCCTCACCCAGCCCACAGCCTCGAGATGGAAGCAGGGTGAATGGAGACATCCTGGACGGAGCTACGATGGTACATGGGTCTCTACAAGTGGCTTCTTCTAAAGCCACTCTTAAAAAAGGGGGAACAGCACCCCATCAACCGTGATCTCCGTGGGTGCGGCTGAATTTCAGAGCATAAGCACTATCACGGTGAACTCTCCTCTCTGCCTCTGCTGAGCTCACATGGGTGCTCTGCCCTCAGCTCACTCTCCTGGAGCCCGGATGAGGTGACGCATGACCAGCCATCTGAGCACTGAATTCCAAGTTTTTAGAAGAAATTCTAATATAATCTCCACAAACTATATCATCAAATAACTCAGGTCAGCTCAGAGGCAGGTACCTACAGGGGGGGCTTCTATGGTTTCTGCTTGGATTTGAGTGTTGGCTTCCATGAACACAATTGAAATGACCACCTGAATTTCCAGCACCATGACTTTAAAATGGGGTGCACCCCTCCCCCACCCTGTCTGCCACCTACCCAGTAATGGTCGCCTCAGAACCCTGAGATGTTCTTTGAAAAGTCTAGGGCCCACACGACACATCTACTAAGTGATCCATTTAGCAATACATTTCCACTGCAGAATGTAGAAGTGTAAGCTATGGTGATAGAAGTTAGAAAGAGATCGAGTCGAGGGAGAGAAAGATTGATTGGAAGGAAGCACAAGGAAACTTATGTATATCTTGTTAGAGATAGAGATTGAATCGGGGTACCTGATTGTGACAGCTTACTTATTTGAATACTCAAGATCGGTGCATTGTTATCATATGCAAATTATACCTTAATTTTTTTTAAAAAAAGTAACAATGGCCCTTTCCAGGTCAAAGATGGCAACCTATGGCCGTGGAGAATAGGGCGGGATGGCTGACCGCCTCCTTCCCTCCAGCTTTCCCCACCATCTCTCATCTCCCCGGGTCCCGACGGCAGCTTAGCAGAGTCCCCCCTGCACAGCGAAGGAGGGTTGGACGTAAGAACACAGCGGCTTTCTCTCCACAATGCTGGCCAGATGTGAGGGATAGGGCTGCTGGGGGAGTGGTTTTGTGTGCGGGGTGGGTTTGCATCCAGTTTCCCCCTCCCTCCTCGTCTAGGATTTCTGCAGGTGGTCAGAGCTCAGCCCCCTCCTTCTCCTTACGCATTCTCCCCACGTACTAAGCCACAGAGGACTCAGTGAGGCTGGTCCCAGAGAAGGCTCACAGGAGACTAAAGTTACCAAACACCTAAAGCCGAGACACCTATGGCAACGTGCCCCAGGAAGGGAGACTTCAACCGGGATTTCTGGGGCGAGGCGATGTGGCAGTCAGGCACGTGACATCAGTCCAGCCTGGAGGGCACCAGCCCAGGCCTCTGTCTTTGCAATAAACCCAGAGAGCTGTTCCCCGGGCTCCTGGCCATCTTCTTGGCTGGGAACTGAAAGCCAGCAGCACCCTGAGCCCTCTGGCCGATTCTCATTCTTCACCAGGGAGGCCGTTGCTCCACACTGAGTTCACTGAAAGGCTTTGGCTGCAAGTCTGCCCACTGGGGAGCCATCCATCCCGTCTTTCCTGCACATGAGCATATCTGCACTTCGTAGGTGGCAGGATATTAGCAGACCAGAAGTTCTATTTCCGTTTTTGCTGCCCTCTGAACTCACACTTTAAACATCCACGTCTCCCCATTTATAAAATGGGTCCAGTAATATCACTAAGCACTTCTTTGAGAGAGGATTCAGGGGCATTAGTGAGATAATGGCCACTAAGTATGGTGACTTCAGTAATAAACTGTGGCTTTGGACAGCGTCCACTGCAAGGGCATGATTGTTTTTAAAACCTTCAAGGGATGTGTCACACAAAAATCCGTCTACTCACTTGTTCAAACTGGAAGATTTCAAGGACAGAAGGATTTGGGAGAGTTGAAATATTGAATGAGTCAGTGTTGGTTTCTGATGCTCAGCATTTGTCTATTTCAATCTTTGTCCCCTAGCATTACAACCTGTGACTTCACTCTCTTTTCCTCGCTGCATTCTACTTCCTGTCATTCCAGGGAGATGCTGATGTTTCTGGATCCAACACTAAGCATAGTAAAAAAAAAAAAAAAAAGCGGTGCCGTTTCACTAGAACTAAGCCTCTCACCCAGAAGGTTCCCCAACCAGAAGCAGAGACTATTTTCTTCGTCTTAAAGGAGGAGCCCAGGATGCTGAATTAAAAGGAAGACAAAGCGTCACCACACTAGGCTTCATTCGGTGTTGGAAAGAGCCAACCCCTCCCCGGCCTTTGCATCTCCCTTCCCTCTCCATACTGGAAGAAAGTGACCAGAACCTTAAACAGTTAGAGTCCAAATCAAGGCAAGCCTTGCTCTTAGAAGAAGCCACATCTTTTTAAAGTCCCCTATAGCATGTTGGCTCCATGGAGACCTGGATGATTGAAGGAAATGCCCAGCACCACTTGTTGAACGACCCCACCCAAGTAGGTACAGGCAGGAGTGAAGGGGGATGGGCAGGGGGTGGTGTCTTCCACCCAAACCAAGGCAGACTCAGGGAATTGCTCGAACATGCTCAGAAAGGCAGGAAGTGGAGGAGACAGAGAGTACCTTGCAAAAAGTAGAAGCCGTGAAGTACGAAGCAATAATGAGCTTCTGTTTGCGGAGCCCTCAGTGCTGGAGGGGGCAGAGTACCCGTTCAAGCCCTCCTGAGTCTGGGACTAATCCAAGTTCGTTTCTGCCTCCCTAGACATGTGGAGTCAAGCCTTTCTTCTGAGCAGCTTTCCACTGCCAGATGCCCCAGAAAACAGGGCAGAACAGACTTTGTCCTCTTTGCAACCACTCATAACCCAGGGTAACAGAGAAGTGGAGGGCACCCCCTGCCTCCTTGCAAATATAGCGTAGTCCGCATCAGCCAACCTCTGCAAAGCTCAAGACGCTGGCACTTTCCTACCACCATGAAGTCAGAGGGACCTCAGCCCCACAAGCCACCCCAGCCCGAGGCTAACCTGTTGCACCTGCCCACTTGCCATGGGTTCGCACCAGGAGAGAAAGGAAGAGGTCAGGGTGGGCTCTCTGCACAGCAGGAACCCAGGGAATCCTGGGGAAATTGACGTTTTAAAAACCAGTTCAAGTTCTCTCAAAGGAGCATAACTTTTAACTCTACCTCCACTCCCGAGCCCCCCAGGCCTCCTTTGCCACACTTTGTCACCATGGATGGCTTGTCGGGAGAGAGTTAAAGAAGGTACGCGACTAATTCCCCAAACCCTCCCTCTTTTCTACATACAAAAAGAGCAGCCCTCCACGGAGACATGCAGAAACCACCAGCAATTTAGCTCAGACCTCACCTGTCTTATGCAACAGTACACACACACACACACACACACGCACGCACATCAGCAAGGCCAGAGTCCACAGCCCCCTTTAATTCGGTAGACATAGTTTTGCACGTTTCTTTTCCCTACGCAGAACCCGGCTCTACTGGCAGCAGAGAGACAGATGTAACCTTAGTGCCAAACGCCTTGCAGGAACACACAGACACACAGGAACCGAAACGCATCTCATAGCTCTCCTTGGTGCTGAAATCACGTTAGCGAGGAAATCAAATGAGCCAGAGCTCTGGACTTACCCGGGCTGGGGGTGGGCGGCCAGAGCCGGAGGAGCTTCCTGGGAAGAGAATTCCTGACTGTTCGGCTGGAGGCAGCTGATGCACTCACCTAGAGAGCCCACCTCTCTCCCTTCTCTTCCCTTCCTCCTTTACTGGGAGGACGAGAGGAGGCTCCAGGAAAGAAATGAAACCCGAGCTGGCAGGGCTCTGGGTGGAAGGAGAAAGAGGAGACAACCAAAATAAGATCAAAAACTCAGGTGGCTTCACTCCACTAGTGGTAATTCCTCGGGTCAGGGAGGACCCTCTTCTCTCACTCTCCCTGGGTCTGCCCCTGTCTCCGTCTCTGCGTGTTGAGCCAACAGGCTTAGCACAGTCGGTGCCTGCCTCTGACGTGAGAGGAGGAAGCCTGGGACTGCTCTGCTGTCTCTCTCTCTCTCTCTCACGCGCTCTCTCTTTTCCCCTCTTGCTGAAATTTCAGCAGCACGATATTTTTTTAAGCCTCTGTTTTTTCCATCCCCCTACAAGCAGCCCCCTAGTGGACAGAAAAGAAAAGCAACCTGAGTCCTCTTTGCCAGTCCAGACTCCTGCACCCACGAACTCCTGGCAGCTGCCTCCGCACAGCCAGCGTCCTGCAGAAGACAGAGACCTCCCTCTGGCCAACTCAGAGGGAGAGAGAGAGGGAGAGGACAGGAGCTTTTGCAGATCCTTTGCCCACGATCGCAGGAGAAGTCAAGGGTGGAATAAGATGGGGGAGTGGCTGGGACAGATTGTTTGGGAGCAAGGTCAGCTGTGGGGTTCCCAAGTGGTTTAAGGTCCTGGCTCAACAGAAGGAGGCCTCCGAAGAGTCAGGCTGTGCGGCCAGGGAGTGTGTGCCAGCAGCACCGCCGGGGACGGGAGTGCTTGCAGAGACAGGGACGCGGGGAACCAAGGACACGATATCTCACTGGCACCCCCTCTGATCACATAATAGGGCTTTTTTAAAAGCCGGTGAGAAAAATATCTGGGAAGACACGGCCTGAGATCATCTCAGAAACAGAGACAGAAGTGACCTGGACAAGCATCCGTGGAGAACCCCAGCGGGGAAGGGGGGCCGAGGGGTCCCTGCGCACGGGGATGGCTAAGCCTGCTTTCAACGCACAGGCTCAGCCTCTGGGGAGAGTCCTCGGCCTGCATCTGCACACTCGGATCCTGGTTTCAGGCCGCCACTCGCTGACTGGACATTCTGCTGCTCTGTGGCTGAGTCTCAGTGTTTGTAAAATGTGGATAATGCTGCCCCCTCCCTACTGAATAGGAACGCTGAGGGACTGGAATGATGCGCAGACACAGAACCTCAGCGTTGGCAGGGAATTTAAAAGTAATCTTATCCAAACATTCTTCTTACATTGGATCTATGCCTGCAAACAATAATAGCTAGCATCTATAGAGTGCTCACACCAGGTGCTAGGCACTGTTATTTAGCTCATTGACGTCATACAATAATCCTACCATGGAGATACTATTATCGCCATTCCATAGACTAGGAAACTGAGGCACAAAGGGATGAAATAATTTTCCCAAGATCAATCATTAGTAAATATCAGGGATGGGTCTGGAACATGGGCCATCTGACTCTGGAGCTTCCTCTTTTAACTACCGTGTGCCATAAATGTACACTTCAGAAGGGACAGCATCTGAAGTAAATGGAAGAGAGAACCATGGTTGTCATTGCTTTTATTTATAATAAAATTCCTAGATTGTTGTAATAAATTTATATGTGGCTGAGTTTTTAAAATAAAATATTTACAACTATGGTGCCAAACAAACTGTGGAAATTGCTGTAACTGATGAGAATCTCCTAAGAAAACTAATTCTCTTGATGATGTGGGTAGTTTCACATATACAAACTGGTTGTAAATCTCATGAAACTGGAAACTATGGGCTTCAACATCAATTCAAAAGACACAGCACTCGATATCTGCACCCAAAGCAGGTGGCTGCCCAGCGCCTGACGCAGTGCAGAGACGGAGCCCGCCACGTGAAGAATGGAAATGTTGCAATGCGCTCGGCTAATACGCGCCCAGCAAGATCCTGACATTTTCTTCAGAATCCCAGAATAATGAATTCCTTACCTAAGGTGGCTTATTTTTTCTGACTTTCTTTAGATCCGAAGAGAAAAGGGCTGGGCAAAGATGGGATGCGATGGTTAACAAATCATGGTCCTGTGCTCATGGCGTTTGCAGTTCCTCAGTCGGGGACAGAAGGGCGAGAAACAGACCAGGACGGTCCAGGAGCCGCATGCTGAGACACGTGGAGGTGCGATGTAGTTAGTGAGCACGTGGGAAAGACAGCTAACCTGACCTTTGAGGGCCAGGGGACTTCCGAAGGAGTGTGGCGTCTAAGCTGAGGCCTGAAGAATGAGAAGTTTCGGCAACAAAGAGTGGAGGAGACAGTTAAGCTGCAGGCACAGCTCGTGCAACCCGGTGGTGGTGAGAGAGAACACAGTAGGAAACTTCCAAAGTAAGCATCACCTTTCCGTTTACAAGTGGGAAACTGAGGCTCAGAAAAGTTAAGTGGCTTGCTCAAGTTCACACATCTAGTAAGTATAGAATCCAGATCAAATGTGTATCTATCTATTTGAGTCGAAAGTCATCCTCTCTGTGAAGCACCATGATGTCTTCTCTCATCTCTCAGAAGTGCATGCACAATCGAACAAGGTGTTTCAATAACCTGCGCGCAGTGGCCGAGTGAGGATGTGGCATCTACAAGGAAGCTGGGGGTGTGACCCACTCCTATTAGATGAGAAGGCCACAAGAAGGCACCGTCAGTACGAAAAAAGGAAAAGCTCAGGATGGCAGAATCATTTCTGCTGGATGTGAAATCACTAGATGTACTGAAAAGTGGGAATATTTCAGAAGTACCAAGATATTAGAGACTTGAAAGAGGGTTCAGATTAAGTGCCATGGGAGGCCCGAGGAGGGAGAAGTCCTTCTGCCTGGGAGCGGTTATGGGAGACTCACATGGGAAGTGGCCACTCGTCGGGGCTTAAAGGATGTGGGTTCAGGAGACCGTGCTCCATTGGACCCAGACAGCCAGACATTTCAAACACATGAGCTCTAACTTGCCTTGAAGAATAGTGAGACATTGATCAAAGGGAAGTAGAAGGTCACTGTAGGCAGAGAGATGTGAAACTGTGGAAGATGGACAAGTTTGAGAAGAGTGGAGGAGAAGTAAGATGGATGGATGGATTCGATTTTGGACATGTCAAGATACGAGAAGGTGCAGATATACATTGTAATAGATACGTCTAGGCAGTGGTTGGAGTGCGTGTCTGTAGCTCAGATAAGGAATCTGGAGCTGATGATTCAGATCTGGAGCTCGTTTACATGGACGTGATAGCTGCTGGATGGTGACCGGCAGTAGGAGGGAAAACTAAGAATGAGGACAGAATCCCAACTCTATTCCCTTGATGCCGGGATCAAGTTTGACACTTTGTCTTTGGTCCTTGTGGCTACAGTGCTTAGTACGCAGGAGACAGTTGCAAAATACTTGATTATTGATTGGCTCATAACAATAACCCAAATGTATCATTGAAGATGATATTGGGACTGAGGTCAGTTATTGGTTCCTTAGCTTCTGATCCGCTCTTAAAGATAAGTCCTCTGTGTCACAATTTCCTCTTTGGAAGCTGGTAACCACTGCCCCCTGGAGTTTTGTTTTTGACCTAGCACTCCAGCCCCCAAACCCTCCTCCATGTTGGTAGTAGCTCTCCATCCATGCGGCTGGACCAAGTTGAGCATCTCCCCAGGCACTCAGTTGTCTCCAGAGAATCAGGAGTTACAGTATGGTCAACCACATGGCGGAATTCCCCAAAGAAGATCTATGCCATGGTCAGCATTCCAAAAAGCCCTGGGATTCACCCTTCTAGAACTTGAGGTCCAGACAGAGGGACTTGGGAGGTGCAGCTATAGCAGTTTGACAGAAAATGGAAAGGAACCTAGGGCTCTGCTCTGGAATAGCCAAGGGAGCCCTCAATTCCCAGGCTAACCTAGGCCAACATCTTACCACTGTTTCAAAGGGCACAGAAGGAAGTTTGCTGTAAACATCAGCTAAGATATGTGATGGTCTCAGGACTCTGGCCAAGGAGAAGAGAGGGAAGAACAGCAGAGGACAAGATCTAGATAATCAGTCACCACCCCAAAGCCCATCCTATCCAGGTAACTCTCTGGAAGCAAGCCTTCCTATTTCCCAACCCATCCCTCCTACACAATTTCTGACCTTGCCCTCTGTCCTTTCCCCAAACCTATGTTTACTTGGCCACAGCTATGTAGGATTATAAATTACTGCCCTTTCCTCCTGTGATGACATAAATTCCTTGGGGGTCAGGACAGGGTTCACTTTCAGGAAGCATCAAGCAGTATGGTGTGGGGCTCTGTCCACTTCCACTCCAGGGCTGAGCCCAGGAGAGGGAAGATGTCAGGAAAGAGCAAAGGAAGGAGGAGGTGGGGGATGGGTTCCAACAAAGTCTACTAGGTTAAGGAGGAGAGGAGAAGAGAGTGGATAGAATAAAGGTTCGTCTGGGTTGAAGACACTATTTGGGAGGCAATTTTGCCTTTTATTTTCTTTACCCCAAATCTTTTCCCCATAGCAAAGGTGACTGGGTACCCCATGCAGTCTTAAAGTTAACTCCACCCCCCACTGGGAAGAAGAGCCCCACTATGAGCTGTTCATTGTGTGCCTCCACACCTACTTACAAATTATTCACTGCCACGTTCTGTAGGTAGAAGGCCCAGGAGTGACAGTCTGTAGGTAGGAGCTCAGGAGTGTTAGGCATAGTGACCCAGGAAATAAACGGCTCCCCTATGGCAGTGAAGCAGCTCAGCCCTGTCAAAGAACCCCAGCGCTGGAGGGGAGAGTACAAAGCGTGTCTGCACAGTGTCCCAGGGTCTCCCTCGGAACCCCGCACAACTCCCGCACCACAACCCCTGACCAGGTATGGACGAGGGGAGCCTCTGCCACGGCTGGGAGCCCACGCCTCCCGCACCTGCCGTACAGATAACCAGGAGTCGGATACTCAGACCATCCTGAAAAAGCTGCCTTGGGGACCCCCAGACCTTTAAAATAAGGGTCTTGATGCTACACATTGCTCCCAGGGCCTGTGGAGAAAGGGAAGAGCAGAGAGCAGGAAGTGCCAATAGTCAGAGCTGCCTCTCAGTGGGGACTTCCTACAAGTGGTCCAGCTCAGGAAGGACAGCCACTTGTTAAGACAGTGTGGGGGCATTCAAGCATTAGCTTGGTGGTTGGAGGAAGTGACTCGTCCATTCCCTTCCAACTTGGATAATGTGGAATTGTATTGGCCTAATGGCTAAGGCGTTTGCTTAGAAAGGACTATTTTAAGATTTGGGGCTGATTTTCTGGGCAGTGGAGGGGGGAATTCTCAAAGATGACCATGAAGATAATGTAGCCCAAATGCTTACCCTCACAAGGAGACAGAGCACAGCCTGTCTCCCTAAAGCCAGGGCTGGGCTTCGGCGCTGTCCCAGCCTGACTCAGCAGGACTCG